TAATTTCATGTTTTCAACGGAATACACGTATGAAATTGACAGATTTCTAATGCGATATGAACATACAGAGTGAAAGGTACTTATATATGTGTTAATATTCATATATCATAACGATATGATAACATTTTTCCTCTTTGCCGTACAACGTTGAAGTTCTTTTACAAAGTTATAAGGTGTACTAGCACTTAAAAAAAGTTAGAAAGCAAATGTTAGATATTGTAAATTATTTAGATAGATACTCGGTAAAATATGTACACTGATCATATCATTAAGATAGTAAGTCCACAACTCTGTATAGGGAGTTCCGAGGCAACATACTCTTGTAATGTCATAATTGAGTTGTTAAAACTTCTATTCCATATATAATAGGTTCAAAATTGAACACCTCACAAAATTACTATTTAGAAGATTACCTCAACATAATACTATGAGTGAAAACCCATATCACAAGTAAAAGCTGCAACCGTCTTAACGATATATTTGAAGCTTGAAGAATTGATATAAATAGCCCCAAAAAATACCAGTGGAGTTTTAATGTTATAGATATTCTTGGATTAAGTTTTGCTTATATTGAGGCTAATTTATCAGCTCGATAAAATTGACCTTGTCAAGATATTAACATTATTTGAGTTTTCCTGAGTGAACTGATTCTATAGGACTCTGAGCTGAGAGATATATCCAGTGTAAGCTCGCAGATACTGAATACTCACACCGTCGAAACGTAGTCCTTTCCCATTAAAAGGATTATTATATGTGATGGATCAAGACGCTTGTCTAACTAGTGTGCTGCAATATATATATTGATACTAACGCCTTTACTTTAATCAGGAGAGATTTCCCACAAATCCGCTCTCCCAAAACATACCTTTTTGTATCCAGTGTTTAGTACTATATATAATTAGAGTTAATCATTCGCTATTTCAAGGTCAAAAAAATACTTATTGAATGTATACTCGGAGGATTCTCCAAAACTATTTTTAATACACTCTCTGTAGACACGCTTTTTAAGTTTCTCTTTTATCATAACCCATATCTAAATTACTAGTATTGCTATCGTAATTCCAATACACATAGATAATCTAACAATATATAGGGATACTTACTAATTTCAGGGTACCCATATTAAGTAAGTCCATTAATATATAAGATATTCTGTATTTAAATATAGTGATGATTTTAAAACTGCTTACTATTACACTACATCGAAAATTGTCCAACTTCCCGCAGTATAGTGTTTTGTCCCGAAATTAATATTGACTTTCAAGGTTCATATGTAGACTATCTCAGTTTGCATTACATTCAATTATGTTCATCGGTTTTATAAAAATAAAAATTCTCGCATAGCACTCCAATTGATATATTCTTATTCATTCGTGTACCATCGAAATACTAGAAACACATATACATCTTTCCAACATTTATTTAATTTTGTTAAGTATTTGACTCATTAATATATTCTTAACTAAATAAATCATATTATTGTGTCCCGATCTACTATTCTGTCAACTTATTTTGTTTTTTTATCGGCACAAAATTTCAGTTTCCTTTTTTTAACTATAAATTGAACGATAAGAGGTATAATTATTGCTTTTCAATCTTTGACAGATTGATAATAAACCCGGGGGGCAGAATCTTGTGCTTCCCAATACTCCAAGGATTAAAAACAACCCTGACGTCTGAGGTGTTCTCCCTAATTTGTGTCATGAAAATGAAAGATACTCACATCCAATTCGATCCTTTTTTGGAGCTACGTACAAAAACTAGCGTAGCATAAAAGTTATATATAAACTAGCTACATTACAAACTCAAATTGTCCCTTCCAGTTAGCTTTCCCAATAATTTGATTCAAGGTTCACTGCTGCTATATACATTCAATTTCGGTTTTAAAAAAATCGAGCACTCAATTGATATATTTTTTATTCGGACCTCAAAATGAAAAATTTTACTTTTTATTTAGTATGCAATAATATTTCATACTAAAAATATTATTGTCCCTTACTCTACTTTTTGTTTTTTAAGAAAGTTCTTTTTAAAACATGAGTTTATTTTTCATTTTGACAGTCGGCTGACGTTTAATAGGGTGTCCACTTTGAATGAGATCAAGAACGAAAAGAAAACGTGTCTGTTTTTGATTGGAGCCCACCAACCGAAAATTGGCACCGGTCCTTTCTAAACTCGCAAACAATCACGTGTCACCTACTCACCAATCCTGTTTTCTTCTAATTTAATATAGTAGCGTTATACCATGCTATGCATAGTTTCAATATATAATTTTTTATTAATTTTAAATTTTTTCAATTATAATATTATTAATGATTTCTTATTATTATAATATATTATATAATTTTATTCGAATTTATTATTCTATTTATCTAGAATATGTATTTTTTTTCTTTCTCGTTAAAGTATATTTAAAACAAATATTAGATGCATTTTTAGTATAAAACACTAATTGTGATGAGTTTTTTTTTTTCAATTATATTTGTTTCAAATCTATATTTGAAATTTTTTTATATATTATTCAAATCACAGTTAAATTCAGCTAATCCTTTTTGAAAATGCAAATAAATTCAACTAATCTAAACTATATTATAAATGTTTCAACTTTAAAACTATTTAGTGAATTGCAATTTAAAAATTTTAAAAAAATAAAATGTATTACAAAACTCTGATTGTGAAAAATATATTTTAACTATAGTTATTTAAAAACTATATTTCAAATGTTGATATATATATCATATCATTCATTACATTTACTAAGCACTTTATTGTGCAAAATATTTATTTAAATTAATTTTAAATGACTTGAATTGAAATCAAAATATTTAATCCTCTGTTTAGTCAAATTTGTATTATCAATAATTTCAAATGTTGATAAATATATTGATAATAAATAATCATTTATTATATATTGATTGTGATAATTATTTATATAAATTAATTACAACTAATAGAAAAAGTCACGAAATAAGATTTTTTGTATGTATCAATAATAATTGGCAAATGTTGATAAACTATTATTGATAGATAAATAATCATTTTATGTAAGGTATTGTAGTGTGATAAGTCGTATTTATAATAAATGTAATGTTTAACAAAAACTAATAGAAACAATTGAGAAAGAGATGGCAATTCATATTTGTTATTGGTTATGAGATTTGTGCTATGTATAACGATAATTTAAGTTTAAATAAGTATTAAATTTTTAAGTATGTTAATTATAAATTTTTATTATCCATCTGTTATAGATATTGATGTTGCAGATAAAACAGCTCGGTTAAAATTTGCAATGTTGTAATTTTCGAGTGTTGAAGTAATATAGTTAAAGAAAGTTTTATGAATGTGTATTATGATATAAACCATTTTTGAAAAATAATATAAAATAAATATCGGAGATGACTTAGTTAAAATAAATATATTTCTATTTGAATTTTATTTATTGTATATAAATCAAATAAGAATTTTGGATTTGAAAGATTATTTGTGCTAATTGGAATTTTATTTAGTCCTTTTATTAGTTCAATTGATTGATTATTGTGTCTTATGATATGTATTCGATTATTATGTTCTTACATTTTATGGTCTTGCATTTATTACCAAATTAAAAGCATTTTGAAAATCTTATGTGCATAATTAATTTTTTCATAATCTACACGACAACTATAGCCTTTTCTAATGCTTTCATACATTACTGACAATCTTCACTTACTTTTAGAAGTGCGTTAAAGCAGTCTGCTATTTAATTTTATTTATTTATATAATCAAATAAAAATTTATGATTTGAAATGATTATTTTTGTGCTAATTATTTATTTAATCTTTTATTAAGTTAAATTATTATTATTTCTTACTATATTATTCATTATTATGTCTTAACATTTATGTCTTGCATTTATTACAAATTAAAGCATTTTGAAATCTTATGTGGCATAACTTAATTTTTCTAATTCTACACGACACTATAGCTTTTCTAATCTTTCATACATTACATGACAATTTCACTTGATACTTTCTAAAGTGAAGATGTCTGCATATGTATATATATATATATATTTATATTGATCGATTGATTCACCTCCTTTTTTGTATAATTAAAAATTCCCTTTAAGCCATTGGCTGCCCTGGCTGCATTGTAACATCCACCTCCACCTCAAGTCTTATCCATTTTGTGTAAGCACTAGACATTAGTCTTTCTCTTTCATAAATATAATAATTACTATGTTGTCCCTCAATTTTAAATAAATAGATAATAAAAATTTCAATTTTTAAAATTATATTCTACGCAATATAAGGTCTGTTAGTTTTTTTCATTAAGTAATTATGAAATATTAAAAATTACCGTAAGGATAATTTTAAAATTATAATATTTAATTTCGATATTATAATTCCATTCAACTTCTAAGTCATTCTATAAAATTAATTGTACTTTTTGATAAATATAAAATAATAATAAAATATATAAAATTGAAATAACATAAACATGATGGTATTAAAATGCTTTATACTTAGAAAGATAAAATTATGCATTCTCTCAATTGAAACTGAAAAATCAAATATGAATGTGGAATATAAAATTTAAAATGAGAAAAATAAAAATATCAAGTATATTTAAATATTCCAAATAATATAGATAGAGAGAGGAAGTAGATAGTTTAAAATTTTGAAACTCTAGTAAAATTAAAATTAAAAAATTATTGATTAGTTAAAAATAAAAAGCAAAAATTATTGAAATTATAGTGATTAGATGAAATAAGAGATAATTTAATAAATTAAAAATATATTATATAATTTAAATAATTTAATTATTCTTTAATAATCATAGAAAAATATTAAACTTATTGTACCACAAAATGGAAGAAATAAGTATTACTTTTTCTTTTTTTTTTCTTTAATATTCCATATTTTTCATCGGTTATGGTAATTAAATTTGTTAATAGGTAAAGTAGATAGTTTTTTCCTTTTTACTGCAACATTAACACAGCTTCAATTAAATTAACGGCTGATATGCAGTATTAGTAGGTTATTTTATTTTATTTTTTGACGAGTAGAGGAAGAGTATTTCTAGACATACGGTCTCTCCTACTCCTACCAGAAACCAACCCGCCGGTTTATAAATCAATCAATTCACATCAACGAGAGAGCGAAACTTGTTTTCTTTGTTGCTTCAATTCTTGTCTCCTTGAATAGTCATTTTCTTTTGGGTTAAAGATGTTTTTCTGGTATGCTAAAATACCACTAACATTACATTTTGTTGATTGAATCCTTTTCGTTGCTTCATTTATTGATTAATCGATTCTTTAATTATCCCTTTTTGTCTCTGCAGAAACTATAGCTATATGGGTATTCAAATATTTGGTTAAAACTGAAATCTTTGATTAAGTTTTGGTGAAAATTGCTTTTTTTCCCCCTTGTTGAGAGAGAGATGGATGTGAAATTCGTGGGACGAATGCAATTATCTTCCACGTGGATTGATTGTGGCCGGGTCACGCCGAAACTACCTACCGGTTCATTGAGGTTGTCAAGGAAGTTAAAGGAAAAGCAGAGGCTGCAAGTGGGTTTTTCGGCTGATATTCAGTCCACAACAAATAAAAATCGGCATGGATCGGTCTCTTTTAAAGTTTCATGTTCTTATCAGAATTTTCCAGGTAGCCAGCCAGAATAACAATTTAAGCTCTTTATATTGGATTTATTTTTTATTTTTTTGAAAAAAACAAGAACTATTTATGGGAGATTTTTTAACTTTAGGACTTGGTTTTTATGTTGGTAGCCTGAATAAGCTGTTTCTTGTAGAGAATTATTAGCTGTTCCAATAGAGTTTTGGTTGTTTGAAGTTGAATAGGAAAAATACATGATTTTTTTTATTAAATTTGAGAAATTTGAAAAAAAAGGAAAAGAAAATGGCGATCCTATCATTTTATTTGAATTTGAGAAATCTGTTACAATTGGAAAGTTGGTATAGGATTTCACTAGTTATGGATTTCATTGGTTTTGGATTGCAGTTCTATTAATTATAAAGTGTGGGGGTGGGAATGATGACACGATAAATGCTATTCTATATATTCTGTGTGGAGTATTTGATTTCATGTTGATGGGAAGTTTTTCTCAATTGTTTCTTGAATCTTTGACCTTAATACGCGGTTCATGTTTATAGAATAATAGGCATATGAAACCAGATGTTTGTTATGTAAAATCATGGATGAGGTTGTTATTTCTTAACAATATAAGTGCTCTCTCTTCTCTCCTAAAGTTTTCCTTTATGCTTTTTGCATATTAACAGTTTATTTTGACCTTTTCTTTTTTAGCATCAGTATTGGAATCTGGAAGTTTGCCTGTTTCTTCTGATGAATCTCTTATCTTGAAGGTCTGATCTCATGTTTTAAATACTTAATAAGTTGGGATTATGAATCTAATAACAATAACTCCTTTTGTTTCGCTATAGTGATATTTTGACTTTTCTGTATGGAATTTGAATTTTGGAGTTATAATATCTAGTTCAGTGGTCAGCCAAGTAAGAAAGCTTTGTTCAAGTATCTTAATAGATATTAATAAAATTTGCAGCATAAATCACAAGAGGTTGGGCCCTATATCAATGGACGCTGTATATACCTTGTAGGTCAGTTACTTTCTCTAACTTTACTTTGCTTTGTTGGAAAATAATTTGATTAATCTAGGAGTAACTAAATAAGTGTGAAATACAGGAATGATGGGCTCTGGAAAAACGACTGTGGGCAAGGTTCTTTCACAAGTACTTGCTTATTCATTCTGTGACTGGTTGGTATCTGTTTACTGCTGCTTGTTTTTGCTTCTAAGAGTAGAAAAAAGTGATAAAAGGAATGAAAAGAATATGCTTCAGAAACCAAACAAATAATATCTTTCCAGAAATTATGCAAATTAAGAACTACAAATCTTGGATTAATTGGATTGGATTCTACTAACCATGGGATTTGATCTGGTTACAACATGTTGAAATTCTTCTTGAAATTTTGTTCATTGGAATTTGTATTGGCATTTGACTTGCAGTCTCCTACAATTTAGATTATCCATTTGACTGCTGCTCTATTTCTGCCAAATAACATGTATAATGTTCTATGTTTTGTGGTTGCTTTAGTGACACATTGATTGAGGAGGAAGTTCAAGGAATTTCGGTAGCTGAAATCTTTAAGCTCTATGGAGAGGGCTACTTCAGAAATAAAGAGGTGATTGATGAAAATAGTTTGGGTTGTTATTGTTGCAATGTGCCATGTGAAACTGCTATTTTCATACTTGAGAATTAACCATATAATAATTGCTTGAGCAGTCATTTCCAATTCAATCACCATGTATATAATTATGCAGATGTTTTTCTGCTTCCCTGGCATCGAAAGCTTAATGATTTTAATCTTTTGCCTTTCAGACTGAAGTGTTAAAGAAGTTGTCTATGATGCATCATGTTGTTGTTTCTACTGGTGGAGGTGCAGTTGTCCGGCCTATTAACTGGTAAAATAGTGAATAATTTGAATAGTTAAATTATTATCTCTATTTATTTGGTTTCTCGTTTCTCTGCCTATGTGGTTAGTAAACCAGTATTCCTTTTGTTCGGTGCATCAGGCAACACATGCGGAAGGGAATTAGTGTCTGGTTGGATGTGCCTTTGGAAGCCTTGGCACAGAGAATTGCAGCTGTTGGAACTGAATCTCGCCCCCTTTTGAATCATGAATCTGGCGATGCATACACAAAGGTAGGTTCTATTAACTGAACTGTTATTTAGGCATGATATGGTGGGTCATGACTGAAAATAGATTCATTTCTTACACTTATTAATTAAACATTAACTGCAGGCTTTCAGGCGCTTGTCTGCTCTTCTTGAAGAAAGAGGTGAATTTTATGCAAATGCCAATACAAGGGTTTCTCTGGAAAGTACGTATGCCTGGATATTTATTTCATTTTTCATCCATTATGTATTTTTTGTTATTTTGTGTCGGTGTTGTCACCAGGCGCTCGCTAGGCGAGGAGTAGGTGCCTGGGAAACCTCTATGCGTGGCACCTTCAACCAGGTGCTGCCTAGGTGCAAAAGGTGTAGCTGGAGAATTCTAAATGGCCTAACTTTTAATTTCATCTCGAACTTTCTGAGTAGTTGCAATTTCATTCTAAATCGACTTTTATACCCCTAGGCACCCTCAACTTATCAATCTAGTTGCAATTGCATTCTAATTTGAATTAATACCCAATTCATTATTTTTGCATCTTAAAATTGGTTCAATTTTAAAATTAAATATTCAATCTTTATTTATTTTTTATTTTTGATGTAAATACTTGGGTTTGATTTTATTCTTTATTATTTAAATACTTGGACATGGAGTCCATTTTTTATATTGTTTTAATCAAAATTCCGACCTTAATTTATTTTTAGAGTGTAATTGCAACAGATTGAACTTGTTGTAATTCATTTTTGGGGGGTGTAATTACACTTTAAAAGCAAATTAGGGTGTAATTGCAATTAGGCTGATAAGTTGAGGGTGCTTAGGGTACAAAAGTCGATTTAGAGTGAAATTAGAACTATTTGAAAAGTTGGAGGTGAAATTGAAAGTTAGACCATTCTAAATTATCTTATGCCTTTTGGAACCCGTCTAGAATTTCAAAATTCAAAGTTCTAAGCAAGGGTGGCCATTTCCCGGTTTTTGGAACCGGTGGAAACTAAAACCGGAACTGTTGGTTTGGAACCGATGGAAACCAGAATCGGAAGTGGTGGTCTACGATCCAGTTCTGATTCCACCATGTTTGGAACCGTGGACCGGCAATTCCAAGACCAGCCGGAAGGGTTTGAAACTAGCGGTTCCAATTAAAATTAAAATTTTATTTCAAACAGCTTTAATCGGCAGTTCCATCGGTTGCAGCAGCTTTTTTTTATTTTTTTTAATTATTTATGTGAAATCCCCAAATTAACCCTCCTAACAATTATAAATGACTTTATATAACGGCTAGTTTTAAGAGTATTTGTGGAAAATTGATTTTTTGGATTTATTATAAATACCTCTTTCTATTTACCATCCCTCACACAAAATTATCTCTACTCTATATTCTTTTTTTTGATTGTTTTTTAATTTATTATGTAACAATCCCCAGAATTTAACACTTGCTAACAATTATAAGACTTTTATATAACGCTTAGTTTTGAGGGTATTTGTGGAAAGAATTTGAATGTTTTGGTTAGATGGATAGTATAAGATACCTCTTTCTATTTGACATCCTCACAGCAAGATTATTCGTCTTACTCTATATTATTCTTCTACTCTTACAATTTCATACAAATTTTCCATTAGTGAAATTGTGTGTCAAGAGATATGAGTTACAAAACAATTTATCCTAAAGGGTGGCTCGTTATATTCTCCAATTATTGTGCCAAATTTGAGTTGTCATTGCGATATTTCACAAGACTTTTAAATATTTAAATTTGGTTTAAAAAAAATTGTTTTCCAATTTTGTATTTGGTTTAAGAGTATTTGTGGAAAATTGATTTTTTGGATTTATTATAAATACCTCTTTCTATTTACCATCCCTCACACAAAATTATCTCTACTCTATATTATTCTCTACTCTACAATTTCTCCAATTTTCATTTATAAATTGTTGTCCAAAATATTACAAAACAATTTCTCCAAAGTCTAATCTCCAATTATTTGTCCAAATTATTGTCAATTTATTTCACAAACTTTTAAATTTTAAATTTTTTAAAAAAATGTTTCCAATTTTTATTTTATAATTATGTGATTCGTCGGAAAATCGGTCGGAGAATCAGCTGGAACCGTCGGTTTTAGAATCGTTGAGGAACCGAAACCAAAATCGTAACCGTTGGGTTCCAAACTGTGACCGTGGCCACCCTAGTTCCAAATCATCTGGAATTCCTCGAGTGAGCGGGCGCCTAGCACTTTTGGCAACACTGTTTTGCGTGCTTTTGAGAATTTTGAACTATTCATTGTTATTTAGATCTCAAGGAAAAATGTTTCTGATGCACAGATATTGCTGCAAAACTAGGATATAGAGATGTTTCTAGTATCTCACCAACTGCAATTGCAATTGAGGTATCTTCTCCATGTCCATATGTATTTTCATGCACTCAAAACTTAGCTTATGCTTAAGTAGTTGTGGTGCCCTTCTGTTGGCATAATGGTCGGTTAACTGATTAGATTTGAACATATTTCCAGGCTCTGGAACAAATTGGGAATTTCCTAGAGGAAGAGGAGGGCATTGCCTATAATCCGAATTTAGCCTAAAAAGCCTGGTTCTGGTGCTTAGTGATTTGCTTCCTATTTGAGCAGAGCTGCAGCTTATGCCGGGTTTCTAATTTTATCAGCGGAATGTGGCATGGGGTCAAACGTGCATTTATCTGTCTTGATTTATCATCTGGAATGCAAGAGATGTGTAAGTTCAATACTGAAATCGTAATTTGTATATACAGTGAAGTGAAAGTTGATCTGTATCATTTGTTGAGTTACAAATGTTAAAAGGCTTGTTATGCCAAGTTGATTTTTGACAATAAGCAATAACCTGAGTAGAACAATGTCCAGCGTCATTTTTCTTGCTTAAATGTTGCTCTTCCACAGTTCAAATGTTGTAAATATGATTATTTCACTTCTTTGATCATCATAACAAAGTTATGATATAAGCGACCAGAACCTGGTTGAATTTGAACAGGTTTTTGATGCAATTCTTTTGTTAATTCTTCTTTGAAACGTAGAAAATAGCTATTGGATAAATTATTTTGTACTTAATAACATTATACCTTTTATTTGTGTATCTGTAATTTGCTGTAGTTTTTAAATTATTTATATTTTACAATTTGTTGTGAAGGAAATAATTTTTTTATCCTAACTTGTAAGTGTATTTTCAAATAATGAAAACAAAAATTTGAGTCAGAGTCTAAAATGCATATGAACACTCCATTGAAATGTAAAAAACAAGCCTCATCTTGCAAGGAGGGTAATGACACTAAAAGTTTGCAATCAGAAACCCACATCTATTTGATATTAGCTTAGAATTTTTCAGTATTGACTTCAGGTTTTGCCAAATCTTCAACCACAAACTTTTACACGGCAATAGACACATGCACTTCCATCGAAGACTTGTCTGGTGAAAAAAGACATTATTTGCCAGTGTAGACAACAAAACCTGGATCCAGAAGATAATTCTGTCAAGGCACCCTTGCTTCTGGCTCTTGCTATGAACTTCATACTAAAATTTATTTACCAATTGCCTGTCGAACCTACGACTTGGATTTCCTAGGCTTTATTATAAGCAAGCAGGAAAGATGTGTCGAATAAGCATCAACATGGGTATTTACAATATTTTTCTTCTCTTCTTCTTTTTACGAGTACAGACTCCAATGAACTACAAACCAAATAATTCTCTATAAACACCTTGCCAATTTGCTCACTTCTTTATCATAAACCACAAATGTAAAAATAAATGACCACAAACGGATGCTAATTACACAGTTGAAATGTACAAAAGGAGCATTACTTTGTAACCTGTATTATTTCTCTACCCAAATTGATGCCAAGTCAACTTCCCTGAATATCAAAAAGCATCATTAGAACCTCAGAATACTCTTAGTAGTCTGCTGATCATCTACCAGCATAAGACTGGAATATGGATATCAGGCTTAAACTTCTTCATGGCTCGCTTGTGGAGACTGGATCTTAACATCCTCCAGGGGAAATATGGGAGGGAAGGCAATTTTAGCCTATATCACGTTTTCACTTATCAGAATCAATGTTGCGAGGATAAGTTAAGACTTAAGACAGCAATAGAATTAACAAAGCAACACAACTACAGGTGAAAGGCTTTCTAGATTTTCAAAACTAAAATAGGTTAATTGATGTGGAAACAGAATATTTTATATAGATAAAGAGATTATTTCAACATCATTATATTCCCAGGTGGGTGTCAGTAATTGCATGAAACGGTAAAAGAATATGATTGGGGTTATAAAATTTAATAGGACTTGCTTGAAGAGGCTCAGAACACATTATTGGGATCTCAGGTGATCCGCTGATAAAGACTAACAACTCGGTTGGAAAAATAAAAGAGGGAGGAAAGAAAATAAAGAAAAAAAAATAAGTGTAAGAAAACTTTAAAAGGCACTTATTTTCTGTCTTTTCGTTTGGATAGGAAGAAAAAGAAAATTATTTTCAGCTCAGGTACAAGTCATCCTTTCTTATATTTTCTCCAAATTGGACAAAACTTGGAAAGAAAAATAAGATTTCTTTTCTCCATTCTCCTGAACAAAGCAAAATTTACATTCTCTCCTTGTTTTCCTGTCCACCTTATATGACTAGATGAACATTTACATTTAAACGAAACATAAAAACATGAAATTCCAAAAGAAATCGACAAAATTATGTGGAATTCAAGAATACCAAACAAGGGCTTAGTTATTTTACTTCCTCCCTATTTTTCACTTTTCCAAACAGAGTTTAAGCCTTCTGCATACTATGAGAAATATAAAACCGGCTCACAGATTAGGATATCTGATCGTTTTTTCTTCAAAATCTCAACTTAAACATGCGTCAATTTATGCTATGCTTGCCAATAACAAAGTCCATTTCCTCTCCCTCAATACAAGTCAAACATTTTTACACCCTCTGCACTTAGGCATGGAATTTTCAGTGTTGACATTTGAATTCTAAATACCTTGTCATTAACATTCAGCCGAGGCAGCAGTTTCTACTAGAGAAAATAATTTACAAAATCCACTGAAGCCCGCTCATATACATGCAATCAGCATAAAACATAACCAAAAAAGGCATTTCCCATTTAGCACAAACACAAGCAAATAAATCACGATCAAAGAAAAATTGAAATTGCAAAAGCCACGCAATTAAACCTAACAAAAAAAAAAAAAAAAAAAAAAAGGCGCTAACAAAGAAAAAAATAAAGAAAAAAAAGTAAACAACAATAAGCAGAATAACCAAAGAATCATAGCCTAACTTAGAGTAGTCAGGTAAAGTCTTCAAAGTGTATAGTCCGGCCATACTGAATGAGAATGGGGAAAAAAAAAAAAAAAAAAAAGTAAACAACAATAAGCAATAACCAAAAACATACCTAACTTAGTCCAGTAAATCTTCAAAGTGTAACCGCCAAGCAATGAACAATGGAAGACCCAATAGGAACCTTATGAACAACATCACACCACTTGACTTTACCCCATAATTCCTCTTTTACATTCTTCTCCACCTCAATTTCCGCGCACCAAATCTCCATTTCCTTCCCATTTCCATTTCCATTTCCTGTCTTTTCCCAAACCACCATCAGCATTCCCCCTACATTTGCCATTGTTGCTCCAGCCAAAAACCTTGGCAACTCCTTTTCCACTCCTCTCAGTTCCTTCCAAAATCCCTTTTTCATATCAAAACCCCTAATTTTCCCCAAGAAATTATAACAGTACAAAACCCCATCCACAACACATGCTCTACCTCTCCATCCCAAATCTAATTCACCCCCAACACTCTCCCATTTCTTAGTTGCAGGCTCATACACAACCCCATTTCTATCCGCCATTGCATAGAACCTACCATCTACAACAGCACTAGCGTGCATCCATTTCTCTCGCAATATATTCTCTCTCGAACTATCCACTGATTCCCAAGTTCGAATCTTTGGATCAAAAACTTCCGCCCAGTTCTTCGATCGGGCCCACGTATCAACCACACACCCACCGATGACGTAAATTTTCCCATCCACCACGCCGGCAGCGGCGAATTCACGGGAAATACTCATATTGGGAAAGGATTCCCACGAGTGGAACCGGCAGTCGAGTGTCCATACGTGTGAGGATGGGATATCCTTAAGGCAACCGCCAATGACATAGATCTTAGGGCCGACGGCGACGAGGGCGGAGCCGAGTAACGGAGAAGGAGTAGGTGGGAGAGGGACTAAGAAATTTGGGGGCTTTCTTGGGTTAGGAGAGTTCTGAAAGAGTGTGAACCAGTGTAGGGAGCTTGTGGTGGGGATGCGAATGGATACATAGAGAAATGGTTGGGAGCAGAGAAGAAGAGAGCGAGTGGTATAAAAGAGAGCGGAGGAGAAGACAGAACGGAAAGGTTTGGAGACTAATGAAAGCAGTGGGTGGTGAGACCGAGGTAATCGGGCTAGTATATTCAAAGCGATGTCGTTTGGGAGAGAGGGGATTAGGATTGGCGCCGGTTCTTGAGAAGCGGAAGTGGTGGCGGACATGATTGAATTTCTAGGCGTTTATGCCAGAAATTGCTATAGATAACTTGGTGTTCGGTAGTAGCTGAGAGCTAACGAGAGGTCGTTTGTTTAGTGGGATTGTTGGTTGGGGCTCACTGAAACCAAACTGTTTTAAAATTTTTACATAGAAAGAAAAAAATGGGGAAAGAATTAGAGAACTAAAGACAATTTTATATTTATTTTGGATAATTTGTATTCATTTTTTGTTTTTACATCCATATACTTTGCTCTTATAATATATACTATTTTTATAGCAATATATATTAATATATATATTTATTTACTTTACTTTTTTTTTTCTTTTTACATCTTATATTTATTTATTGTTCTTTTTTCAATTATTTGTTTTCTTCTATTCATTGGGAGGTCACTGACTGGGGTCATTGAGAGCTATATAACAAGGGTAGCTCTCCTTTCAATCTAACAAATTGATGAAATATTTATTGCCGTGAGGACTGTTTATGTTATAGACAATGGAAAACAGATCAATGTTCTAGCATCTACAACATTCACTGTTTGCATTTATGTATGAATACCTAGTGAAAGTTAGAACAGTGCAGAAACACTAGGAAATGAGGCTTAAGTTGGATAAAGATTCTATTTTTCTAAATTTTTCATAAATTAAGTTAAGAATAATAATCAAGTGTAAAGGAAAAGGAAAATTCTTCTAGTTACAGAATTATGCAGCTTTCTCAATCGCTTCTATGCATTCTAACACATTCGCCTTGCTTAACATCGCTTTCATTAGTGCTTCATGAAGAAGCTTGTTATTTTTGACGAGTGATCCAGCGAACAGCACCTGCATTAATTTCTCTCAGAATCAGAATTTTATCATTAAAACCATATTGCAAAAAATTTCATCCATTGAACCAATAGGATCACTCATAATTTTAGCCCGAAATCTGCTATAGAAATGGCAATGGCAGTTATACGAGCGATTTACTTACAGCCCATCTAGTGAGATTTTGTTGCTGATCTTTGCTAAGTTGTGGTTTGCTCCTATTTATAAATCTCTGCACAATAGGTAAAATATGCATTTGGTCATCTCTCTTTTCTAAAAAGAAAAAAGAAAAAAAAAAAAAATTTGACTTCTGCTGAGGTGCAATTTTGTATACCTGGAGACTGAAAAGATCAGCAGATTGACCAATGACTTTGTCATACTGCAGGCCCTCTGCAGCTAGTCCAGCCATCGCTACAACAGCCAATCTAAGAAAACAAATTACCATATAGGTTTTAATCTCAGAGATTCTAAATTATTCAAGCAAATATTCATAAGAAACATAGCTGGTTTGTAAAATTAGGTAATTTGCTAGAAATGTAAAATTTCTTAAACTTTCTTCCACCAAATAGTTCTCTAGTTGTATTGTCTGTTGTTTATGCTACCAAAGTGACTTAAGTTCATGCATCTGCACATAGCTTTTCAGATTATACTGAAGCAGGCTTATTTAAAATATAATTAAATTTAGTAACTAAAACTTCTAAAAATTATAAGAAACTGTGTGTGTTTTTATTTACTAGGTATGATACAGAGTTATCTTCCTGCACCTTTGTATTGTCTTGCAGAAAATTAGTTTCCAGAATTACTTTGATACAAATAAGGAACAGTTTGTTGATACAAAAGAAAAAAAAAAAAAAAAAAAGAGATAGCTTTGATCAAATAAGGAACAGTTTGTTGATACAAAAGAAAAAAAAAAAAAAAAAAAAAAAAATACTAAGTTATGATTATGGAAGTCAAGGTTTACAAAGAGGCACCTGTCTAGTTCTTTGGCATCAAGCTGTCCACTGTATATCAATTTTTCAAGCCTTTGATCAATGAGATTGACGTGCTCTTTCCCAATATCTAGCGAGTAATCCAATATGGGAAGGCCAAGCAAATAGGCAACTGAAACACGAAGGAGCTTTATAACAACCAAGTAGTAATTCAATCAAGAATCCATCGATCCTTATACAGTAAATGTAGCAAATGAAGGGGGAATACTCAGAAAATGAGCTGCTTCATGTCTAGCTATTCTGTCTTGATAATCAGGAAAAACCGATGAAAAGCCACTAATTGCTGCTTGAAGAAGCCTATAATATATAACAGATAACAGGTAGCAGACATGAGTTCTCTGCCAAACCAAAACTATAATTTAATGAAACATAAAACAGACTGAAATACTAATATCATTGGACTAAAAGACTTACTAATTTCTATATAGCTAAATCTTACCCAGGAGAAATGCTGCCCACAGCCAAGACTATTAGAGAAATGCTTCCAATCAAATAAGGTACAAAGAATCCCCAATCCTGTAACCCATGATTGAATTAAAAATGTCAGTGTTACTCAGATTACAAATAAATACAATATAAACAGGTGAGCATGCCGAGTAACTGGGAAGAGAAGAAAATTGCTTAAGGCTTACCCCAGGAAGCTGGCCTGCAAGGACTCCCAAAAATCCTGTTGTTCCCACCACTGTGAAAAGAAAAGCTGCCTGTATTACTCAAAGATATTAACTTAACTATATATGAAACCATAGTTTGATACAAATGTTTAAGCCTATTTAATCTAGTTTATAGTAGTAGAATAACACTTACATCATTTCTAACACTTGGAATTGCCAGGTTTTCTGCATTTTTTATTCCTAGAGTTGTTAGTTCGCGGACAGATGTCTGGCACATAAGATTTAGAGAATAAACACAAGTTTTTTAAATAAATGAGTAAATGAAAATCATTGATCAAAAGGAAAAAAAATAAATCATTAATAATTTTTGTACATGTATGCATGGGTTTGTAATTGTTGTACTATCCCAGAACTTGATGCTTGTAATGGAGACGTACTGACCGTACGACGAGAAACATAGGGCTGAGAACTCCATCTCTGAGCCCAACCATCTTCTTTTAGTTGATCAAGTGCCTCTTTAACAGCATTACTATCTTTCTGCCCCAAAAAATAAATAATTGTTAATGCTATAATACATCAACGAGGAGAATATTATAGGCATGTTCAGGTAAGAGATATACCAAATGCTGATATGTGAACAGCATTGACAATAAGTAAACCAAATGGAAATTAGAATTTGATTTGGCTTCAATCACTTACCACACATTTTAAACCAGTTCTATGGCCCTTGGAAATTATAAATAATTTAACTCCCTTAATACTATCTATAAATTAATTTGAAATCCGACAATTCTGGTGTTTGCCATGAATAAATTCATTTTTGAAATTCTAAACTTTCAAAATCAGACCAAAATCTACCAAAATAAATAAAATTTGCAAATGGATTCTTAATTTATCCAGGATACAAGCAAATAAAGCTAACGAATTCCAAGCACAAGGTAGTAATGTTAATTATGCAAACTTATTTCTACATTTATTCAAACATGAAAATCTATTTACAAAAATTAAATAAATTCCATCTTCATTTATTCCAAGAACAACCAAATTCCTGATGTAGCAAAAGGAAACAAATTTTCTTGACCTCAAAAAGGAAAACCTTAATTTCAATTTAAGCCCCCTCATTGAAGCCCATTACAGTATTGTTGAATTTAAATGAACAGGAAGAAATTAATATAATCTATATATAAAAGAAATAGAAAGAAGTAGGGATTCGGGAAGGAACAAAAACCTTATCAAGAGCAGATTGAAGGGTGTTGAGATCCACACGAGGAGCAGCAGAAGACGCTTGGATTCGAAAATTTTGATGGTTACAACGGTAAAATGAAGGATTTGAAAGAGAAGAAATCAAACTCAGCATTTTCAGTTGTTCTAACTTCTAAAGTTACCCGTTTATGTTCTATTTTACCATTGTTGTATTATGTAAAGCTCCAAAATGGATAAGATTTGGGTTGGCGCGCGCGGATCAGTTTCATACACGTTGTTTTTGCAAAATTTTAAAAATAAGAATTCAAAAAAATTATTTTAAAAAAATAAAAGTACTCTTTTCCAAAAATTAAACCTGATCATGTCCACTTATGTACTAAATCAACCAAATTAACGGTTTTTACCGTACACAAGTACAGGAAAAAAAGTCGAAACATTTTTTAAAGAATGTTTAATTTTATTTATTTGATCTATAAATAAAATTATATGTCCTGTCTAAATAAATTTTTTTCCTCCACTTTTTTCAGAATGAAATTTAAACTCACACCTTTAAGTAAACTTAACCATAGTATGGTTTGAATACAAATCCAATCAAAATTGGTTTAGGTCTGTTCTGCAAAAATTAATAACTATTAAAAAAAAGTTTGTATAAATACAAGTCAAGGAACACTATGAATATTAAGGAAGGATAGTGTTGTTGCCGCCAAAGAGGACCTTAATAGAAATTAATTAGTCTTAAATTGATTAGGGAGTTTTAGTTTTCAGTCTGACCAAAATTGGGTTTGGCAGTAAAAAAAGGTTTAAAGTGAGTTAGAATTAACGTAGGAACTAGCCAGTTCAAAATCGATTTTCCTTTTTTCAGGCACATTGTTCATAAAGGGAAAATTACTTCTTTTATAATTTGATTTTTGAATTCTTTTATAAAAAAATTCCATAAAAGCACATTGTCCCCAACATCTACTGCATCTAAACGATGCTTTAGCTCAAGAATAAGATCCTGTAAAATCTGCAAACCTTGAGGTTCAGAAAATGCCTCCTTGGCTAACAAGTCCTACAAACATGAAAAACTTCCTATTAAGGAACAACTTAATCGACTTGAAAAGAATGCTACTTGAAAATTGGGTTCTAACTGAAAAATCATATCAAATCAACATATTTAGTTGTTCTATTGGACTATTCAGTAAAAGCAGTTCAATTTGGTTAATTATAAAATAAAAATCAATTTTTTTTATTTCAGTTTTATTTTCTTCACAAAAAATTGAAATATGAATTATGAATTTTTGAACATAAACTTATCCCAAAATTTTCAATTTTCAGTTTACAATTAAAAAAAAAAATTCATTTCTCAGAATTTGATTTTTTAGGGGTGATAGGGGAAAAGTTGACAGATAAATTAGTTTGATTCAATTTGTTAAGCATTGTTAGGAAGGTAATAATTTTAAATTTGATTATTTCAGTTGGATTTGATTGTCTATCTATAGAATTGAATTAGTTTGATTTAATTATTCATGCTTATTTAGTCAATTCAATTACTGCATTTTCAAAATTAATTCTTTCAATTAGAAAAAATTCAGTTTGATTCGATTTAATTGAATCAAATATTCACCCCAAATTTTATTTCGACTTGATTTAATTCGATTACACCGCAACAAGCAATGCAACAACTATTTCAATATAACAAGGTAATAAAGAAGAAAGAATCATTATATTATATATATTTATAAAGGAAAAACATTAGATTTTTTTTTTATGCTTACGCTCACGTGGCGCTTCTGTTAAAGAGTGAAATTGTATAAGATTTAAGTATTTGGTTTTTACTTGCATAGTAAAAATTTTAGATTTCATTAAAAATAATAAAAATTAAAATTGCCTAAAAGGTTGCTTTCCTTAATTGATTATTTTAACACAAACATCGTTTTAATAACCTACAACCTCTCTCTCAGTGTCCGTACATCTTCAAGTGCCCTTTTTCCCTCTCCGTTCATTTTCTCCTCCCATGTCTAATTCGCTACGACGATTAGTCGATGCCAATTAACATAGAAAGAAAAATATCACTATCACCATCTTCTTCTTTTCCTTTCCGATTAAGCCCTAGCCAGAATTGCCCACCAACATAATTTTACAATTGGGATTAAAGGTTAGAAGCTATCTATTTGTTTATATGATCTCTTCTATTTATTGGTTGCCTTGAAATTGAAAGAGAAGGAATTTGTAAACATTGATTATTTGTCGATATGGTCGACGTCCCATAGAAGTATGTCTCAATCTCTCTCTCTCCTTCTCTTTATACTATTCTCATTTTTTTTTTATTTTAATTAATTATCGGTTTATCAATATTGGTCTCTGATTTGTCTGCTTATTTTGCTCTGTGTTAGTGCTGTTATCTGTTATTTGCTTCTCTGATTTCTTCTATTTACTGCTTACTTTAAAATTGGAATTCGGCTATATATGTTCATAGATAATGGAGTTAGTCCCGGAATGGGTTTGTAAGGGCTCCTATCTTACAGTTACTATCATATTTTGTAATGATATCATTTCAATGCTTTGGAATTTACCCTTATCTTTTAATGGTGTTTTCCTTGGTGGATAGAGGGTAAACATGATATTTTGAACGATTCCGATATTGGCTTTATGTTGTTGTAAAAGAGTTATGTGAAAGTGATATAATTTTATTGCATTGTGTAAAGGCTAACATCTCACTAGAGATGCATCAGCTACCTCGAAGAATTTATTACTTATTATTACGGAATTGTGATCTCATGTCAATGAATCTCTACATGAAAATTTGAGTTCTCTAATTAAAAATTTTGATTCCCTTTTGTGAAATTCAATTTGGTCAGTTTGAGAATATTTGAGATATTTAAACTCATCTTCATGTTTTGTATGGCTAGATCTCGCATGATAATTTGTTCTCCTTTCCTATTTTTACATGTTTTTAGGAATTTTGTTATTTGAAATCATTTTCATCAGCAAGGACAAACAAACAAACAAATAATTGATCTGCATTAAATGCTCTCTCTTCTCGAGGAATCAGTGAAGAGAAAGCATTCTTATTTTTGTTATTGGAGTATATGTTCTTCAAAAGTTATATACTCTAATTAGCTATTATTATTGTTTTCTTTTTCAGTAGTTTTCAAAGTTTAAATTGTTTGAAAGTTTTGTTGATTGATTTCCCAGTCTTTTTTTAACTGTGTTTTATTCGTCATTAAGTTGATATTTACTGGATTATTGAATATCTTTCTTTCATCTGATATAAAGTATATATATAATTAATTGAATTGTCCATGAAAAAATTTCGTTTCAATTGAAAAATTAGTTAGAATCATGAATAGTAAGAAACTCTTTGGCTTCACCGTGGCATCATTTAAGTTATACAGTTTCAAACTGAATGAATATTTATTAAAATTTAATAAAGAAAATGAAATTATACAATTTCAAAAACTGAGTAATAATGGAGAAAGAATATTTGGCAACAATTAAATTACAGGCATCATTATTTTAATTATTATTAATGTAATAATAACACTTTTTTTATACCCAGGATCTCCTTGGACAGTAGAGCATAGAGGTTTTTAGTCCTTCAGCAAAATGCATTTTCCGGAGATTGAACTTGTGTTCTCATCCATATGAACGGAGATTGAGGTCGCTTACCACCTCAACCAACAGCTTGCCGGTAATAATAACATTTTTTTGCATAATTAGTATTATTAATATTATTAAGTTAGACTTATAAAAGGTAGTTAACATTTATCGGAAGCCTAGCCTTTAATTTCATCTCGAACTTTTCAAATAATTGTAATTTTACGTTAAATCAACCTTTGTATCCTGAGTACCCTGAACTTATCAACCTCGTTGCAATTACACTCTAATTTGACTTCATAGCCAATTCATTATTTTTGCATTTTAAAATTGATTCAATTTTAAAATCAAATATTCAATTTTTATTTTTTTTTATTTATTATAGGAATACTTGGGTTTGATTTTGCTAGTATTGTTTAAATACTAGGGTATGGAGTCCATTTATTTATTTTTAATTAAAATTTCGACCATAGTTTATTTTTAGAGTGCAATTGCAACGAATTGATAAGTTCAGGTTGTCGTAATTCACTTTTAGTTGCAATTACACCTTAATCTTTTAAGGTGTAATTGTAACTAGATTGATAAGTTCAGGGTTTTTAGGGTACAAAAATTGATTTAGAGTGAAATTGTAACTATTCGGAAAGTTCAGGGTGAAATTAAAGGTTAGGCCTTTATTAGAAGATTTAAATCACTGAAATTAAGAATTTAATTTCATTTTGAATTCCACTTTCCATCTAAAGAAGGTAATATTCAAATTTTGAATATTGATTTTCCTTAAAACATTAATATATGTTCACTTAATTTTAATTCTTATTGAAGCTCAATTATATAAGGCAATTAACGTTTGCTTCCATTGAGATAAGATAAAGCTCAATTTTATATGGCAACTAACGTTAGCTTCAATTGAAATAAGGTAAAACTCAATTATATAAGGCAGCTAACGTTTGCTTCCATTGAAATAAGGTAAAGCTCAATTATATAAGGCAACTAACATTTAAATGGAAGGAAACGTTAACTGCCTTGTATAATTGAGCTTTACTTCTTTAAATGGAAGCAAACTTTAGTTGCTTTATATAATTGAATTTTACCTTCTTTAAATAGAAGCAAACTTTAGTTGCCTTATATAATTGAACTTTACATTCTTTAAATGGAAGCAAACGTTAGTTATCTTATATAATTGAGCTTTAATAGGAATTAAAACTGAGTCAATAAATATTAATGATTTTAAAAGGAAATCAATGTTCAAAATTTGAATGTTACCTTTTTTAGATGGAGAGTGAAATTCAAAACGAAATTAAATGTTGCATTTTAGTGATTTAAAATCTTATAATAAATGTTAATTGCCTTTTATAACTTTACATTAATAATATTGATAATACTAATTGTGCAAAGAAATGTTATTATTACATTAATAATAATTATAATATTAGATTTTGATATTCTTTCTTTTATTACAAACATTATAAGCATTAGCCTTTTATTGCCCCTTTTAATGTCAAGCATATAAATAATATTAGTTTTTTAAGTTTTTTAAATAAAACAAAGGTTTCTTGTGTATGAAAAAGAAGAAGAGGTTTTGAAGTGTATCTAAAAAACTCAGAATGTTTGTTTTTTTTTTCCCAAATGCCTTTTATTCTGTTTGTTTAATCATTATTACATGGATTGTTTAATAAAGGGGAACATATGGTAGCATTTTATTTTTCCTTGAGAAAATTTTGCCTTTTTAAACCTTTGAAATTTAATTTCCTTTTAATATTTTTACTTGCAATTTGATTATTCCTTTTGACCTTCTTACATTCCTTAAATGTTTCAAATTTAATTTTCCAAACTTAATAGTCATCATTATTAGCGATGGAAACAGTACAGGTATTTTAGGGTACCCACTCCGTTTCAATTTGTTTAAATAGTATAAAAATAATTATAAATAGGTTTTGGACGAGTATGAGTAGTGAAATTATTATTCGTAACGGATACGGGTAGAGTATGGATATTGATCTTTGGGTACCATTACTCCTTATATTAAATGGATTTGGAAGTGGTTACCCGTGGATGCGCTATCCATTGTAAGCAAAAAATGTATTCTAAATAAATTCGAATTTGGATAGTTAAAAGTTCGCAGATACTCTATCCATTTAAAGGGTAGTTCAAATGGGTTTTGGACAGATATGAGTAGTAAAAATTTAAATGGATTTCAATATAGGTACTTGGGTATTTAAACAAATATAGATAATAAAATTTTAAATGAATACGAAAACAGATAGTTTAAAATTTATGAATACATGTTTCGCTTCCATTCCTAGTCATTATTACAATTCTTCACCTTTATACGTTCCTAAAATTAAAATTTAATTTTTTTAAATTTAATGATATCATTTTAATTTGAAGTTAAGATTAAAATATTAAAACAAAGTATAATACTGTAAAGTCCTTCGTCTTGCTAATTGAATTTCGTCAAGTTCTCTTCCTTTTCATTTGAATAAATTGAAATTAAAATGCTAAAAATCCTCATTTCATTAATTAAGGGATGCACTGATTGCAGTTTTTCTTTTAGATTGTCACTTTACCATAGATCAAAGAAACCCATAAGAGAATTTCTTGAGATGATATGGTAAAATTTTCATCTTTCAACTGATTATTTTTCAAGATTGATTTCATAGAGTTTGGAAACAAGAAGATAAGATAATGAGTAGTCTTCTTCTCCCTCCTCCCCTTCCCCCCCCCCCCCCCCCCCCCCCCCCCCCCTCTTTTTTTCTCTTTTGATTTATTTGTTTATGATTGTTCAGTATTTTTGAATAAATTATTTGCCCCCCCCCCCCTCTTTTTTTCTCTTTTGATTTATTTGTTTATGATTTTCAGTATTTGAATAAATTATTTGGGTATCAATTTTGTTTCCCTTCTCATTATAAGTTAATGTCAATAATATTTTGTAATCTTTAAATTCACTCTACGGTTTGTATGTATTACAATTAAATGATTGAAATTAAACTGAACTTATTATATGAGAAGGTTCCCTATGTGTTTTTTTATGATTTTGATTTAAAATGTAAAAAATTAGGTTGGAATTGATAGTTTTAGTTTTAAAAATTACACATATTTTTTTAACAAATTACAATTTCCAATATTTATATAGTTTCTTTATTCACTATTCTTTTTTTCTCAAAATTTTAAATTTATTTCTAATAAGGTGTTTTACTTTGCCTTCTTCATTTTATTACCGGTTAAAAGAAGAATATTGTGGTATTTTATTGCTTTGTTTGTATTGTTTGCTTAGTTTTATTTTTTCCAATTTCATTGTCATTTTGTAATTTGCTAATTTTAGTTTCTTTGTTTATTTTGCAATGGTTGAAGTGTGCAATTCAAGAGGATCTAAATATGATTTATGCAATGATGAATTAACTATTATGTTCTAATAATGCTTCTTTAATTACATACTCTCATTCAGGTTAAAAATCTCGGAAAAAATAAAAAATAAGAATAAAGCATTTAAATCATTTTAAGGAAGTCCATCTATCTATAGAAGCTGATATGACATAGAATTAGATATTTGAAGTTATGACTTGTCATTTTTGTTTGCATTTTTAATTTAATTAATCATTAATTTAATTAATCATTTTTAATGATTTTGCATATGTATTATGTTAAATAATTGTTATTAAATTGTGATATTAAATAAAATCTTGAGTGATTATATTAATGACATCAAAACAAATAGTTAGGAATTGAAGACGCAATATACAGTCAAGGAATTTCTATAGTTTTTTTCCTTTTCAATATAAAAGTTTTGTTCTTTGGAATCATCATTTACAACTTTATGCTTTATATTTTCTTTTATTTTAGTTTCTTTTTTTCCTATCATGTTTGTTTTAATTCTTAATTTAATTTATAAAATTTCAAATATAGAACCCATGGGCTTACAACTAGTTTTATTTCTAATAATAATTTCATTCACTTCTTTCTAAAAAATTGATTTTTTGTAATCTACTGAACATACTGTCTTATATTTACACTTAAAATGAAAAATATAAATATTTTACAATCGCACAAAGCTCGAGTTATCACCCAGTTAATTAATAAGATTGAAATAATACTATGTACAAGGAAAACAAAAGAGGAAGATTAATTAATAAATTTACAATTAGAAAGGCTTAGACAGATTTCTTAGTTTTTTTTTTTTTTCCGAAGAATGACGGATTTCATCCATAGGTGAGACAATAAACATAATCAAAGCAAGTTCATCTCATCTTCTCACATTAAGAAAATATACTATATTACTCCAGGGATGAAATGAGATGACAAGATTATTTCTACTTTAATCAGAGGTCTCGAGTTTTAAGTATTTACTAAACTGATTTAAAAGACCAAACATTCCTTAATCGGGAAAATCATCAAAAATCATATGATATGATTAAAACGAGAAGATAGATTAAGCTAAACAGAAATTTTAATCAAAACTAAAAGAAAATATTTTAAAGTAATATTAAAACCTTATTCTCGATAAATTTATTCACATAAATTTCCTCTAAAATTGAATCTTCGCTTGTCCTTGAGAACAATTAAACTAAAGAACAATCAAGCATTAAAATTAAGATAATTAACGAAAATAACAAATTGCATATTACTCCTCTTTTCTTAAACAAAAATAGCAACAAGAGAAAAAAAAAAAAAAAAAAAAAAAAAAAAAAAAAAAAAAAGGGAAAGAATTGTGTATATAGTACTTAAATTTACTAAAGTCTGACGTCTAAGAGCTTCCAACATGGATTGCTACTAGTCCGGGCTAAGGGCCTTTGCTGTCAAAAAAAAAAAAAAAAAAAAAAGGAAAGAAATTGTGTATATAGTCTAAATTTACTAAAGTCTACGTCTAAGAGTTCAACATGGATTGCTACTAGTCCGGGCTAAGGCCTTCTGCTTCTTGAAACCTAATCAGGGGGCGAAACTTCGTTGGTATCAGGTGCCCACTGTATGCTCCAAGTTTGACGACAAAAAAGAAAAATATTTTTTTAATAAAGATCACTTTGCCTCTTAAATTCAAAAAATTTTCCATTTTTAAATAATAAATTCAAATAAATAAATAAAATTTGAATCTATGTTTGACTTTAATAAATAGTTAAAATAAAATAACGGTTGGAGCATTATTCTGAAAATCATACTGGATTGTCCGATTTATCTGTTTGATTGAGAATCGCATATGATCCGTTCCAAATTGAATAATAAATATGTAATTCAAAAAAACCGATGTAAGTTAAACCGTGATTAGTACGGTTCAATTCAAAAAATGGCCTCCTACAAATTTGAGCTACTAATTCTTTTAACTTTTGAGTCTTTTTATTTCTATACAAGTCTAAAACCTTTAATTTGTTAGTAATTAAAATAATTAAATTGCCCAATTTCAAAGTAAAATGAATAGTACTCCTTCCGTCCCAAAAAGGTAATCCATTTTCTATTTTCACACATATTAAAAAAATAACTATTATTATGGTTAAAAGGATAATTTTATTCAGATAACTTTTTTATTATCCTCATCTTAAATAGCACATAAGCAATTATTATATTAAAATAATAAATAAAAATTAATGAAAATAAGATAAATTTAATAAGAGCATAATAGACGATTTAAAAAGTAACTAAAACGTAAAAAAGAAAAGTAAATTATATTTTAACATAAATCAAAAAAGAAAGATATACTATTTTTTTTTTTTGAAACGAAGGAAATAATAATATATTCCATGGTAATTAATTAATTTCATTTTTGGCATTAACTTAAATGCAATTTTTATAATTCGTATTTTTCGGAGAAAGAATAAGGATGATAAGACTCATTTTCTATTCTTTTTGTTTAATATTATTTATTATTTTTTTATTCTTTATACAAAAATCAAAATGCAGGCTTTTTGTTTAAAATCAAAGTTATTTTTTAAACATATATATTCAATTATATTTAACAAATATATTTAAAAATATTAATATAAAAAAGTTAAACAGTATTAAATTTAGTTAAATTCTCCGATTCAATCCTTACGGGTTTAGTGACGGGTCGGATTACAAGAAGAGTGGGGTGGGGGATTCAATTATAGAAGATGAAAAGAACAAGGGAGTTTGGTGCATAGTCTGGTAATATCAGAGGTGGCCCATTCGTCTTTGTCTTAGGAACACATCCATAAAATCATATCACAGATATTGCTTTTCTTGTGTGCTTCCTTCCTCCAGTCACCGTCATTCGGTAGAGCACGCTTGTTTTTCTTTTTTCTTTTCTTTCTTTTTTTTTTTTTTTCAGTTTTTACAAATAAACCAAAATTTCCAAATAGCTAACACAGGTCTCTCTCATCTTACAGTCTCTCCGTCTGTCATATAATAAATTCAAAAACGTCACAGCTCTCAATGCGTTCCTAATTAAGCATACAAGCGTTTCTGTCTCAATTACCTCTCTGGCTCTCTCGCCGTTTTTAGCCTCCAATTCTATGGTCTCTCATTCAATGCCATTCTCCTTCCACTCCTACTGCTACGCTCTTCAAGGTTTTACTTTTATTTATTTATTATTAAAAATTAAATACCCTTTTTCTCAAAAATAAAAAAAATAAAAAATAAAAATAAACCCCATATCACACCCCCACCGCATACACTTCACATTGCATGCAGTATTTCACTTCCTTTCTCTTTCTTTCTCTCCACGTGAATCCCTCCCCCTCTTATTTTTTCTTCAGATTTTTATTTTTATTTTACCATAAATTAAAAAACAAGACAGAGAACTTGTGTCCCATCAAATCCCTCTCTATCGATGACGTAACTACGACTCCTTCCCCTATATAATCGCCCTCTCAAAACCCTTTTCTCTCCAAACCCCTCTTTCTTTTCTTTCTTGGATCTTGCTGTTATAGATCTCCGTGTTCTTTAGGTTTTTGGTTTCTTTCTTTCTTTTAATTATCTTTTCCTATACAAAGATTTTCTTTCGCTTTTTGGTTTTCTTGAACTTTCTTTCTTTGGAATGGAAGTGGGTTTGGTAGCGAAGGATACAAGCTGGTGGGTTTTCACCCTACCAGCATTTCTTGGTTCAAGAAATCTTTTGGATGGCTATATTCTGTTTTCTCTTTTTATGGCATTTCTTTCTCTCGCACTTCTCACTTGGGCCTTTTCTGTTGGAGGAATTGCATGGAAATATGGAAGAAACCAAAAAGGCCTTGTTTCCATTCCTGGACCAAGAGGTTTACCTATTCTTGGTAGTCTCTTTACTTTAAGCCGTGGCTTGGCTCATCGTTCATTGGCTTCCATGGCTTCCAAAATGTCTTGCACTCAGCTCATGGCTTTTAGCCTTGGCCCTACTCCTGTAGTTGTCTCTTCTGATCCTCACATCGCTAAAGAAATCCTGACCTCCCCTTTCTTTGCTGACCGTCCGATTAAACAGTCGGCTAAAAGCCTTATGTTTAGCCGAGCCATCGGTTTCGCTCCTAACGGTATTTACTGGCGGCTTCTGAGAAAAATCGCTTCGTCTCACTTGTTTTCACCTCGGCGCATTTTAGCTCACGAGACTCTCCGTCAGCTAGAATGCGCCTCCATGCTGCGCAATATAGCAAACGAACAAACACAAAACGGCCGTGTCTATTTAAGGAAACACCTTCAGTTTGCTTCATTAAATAACATTATGGGAAGTGTGTTTGGTAAAAGATACGATCCTGCGCACGATAGCAAGGAGCTTGAGGAGCTTAGAGATATGGTTAGAGAAGGGTTCGAGTTATTGGGTGCTTTTAACTGGTGTGATTATTTACAATGGCTGAGTTACTTTTATGACCCGTTTCGTATTAATGAACGTTGCCTGAAACTCGTTCCCCGAGTTAGGAAATTTGTTCGGGGCATTATAGAGGAGCACCGGCTCGGTGAGTCCAGAAATGTGTCTGATAATGGCGATTTTGTTGATGTTTTGCTTTCTTTAGATGGTGAGGAGAAGCTTCAAGAAGATGACATGCTTGCTGTCTTGTGGGTACGTATAATCTGTTTTCTCTAGCTTCTTTTTTTTTTTTTAATTTAAATTCTCAATAATTGAAAATTACATTTTAGAAAATATGGAAGAAAACATGCAAATATTACTGTTTAAAGGTCTCACTAAAAACCTTGTTTATGTTTCTTAATTTAATAATGGAAATATTTCATAATTATAAAATTTCCGAAAAAAAAAAAAAAGCAAGAAGCAAAAAGCTGCTCCGTTTCTTGTTTTATATGTTTGGATTGGACGCTGGGTTGACTCGGTTGGTTTTGTATTTTGCAGGAAATGATATTTAGAGGAACTGACACAACAGCTCTTTTGACTGAGTGGGTAATGGCCGAGTTGGTCTTACATCCGGAAATGCAAGAAAAGCTTTGCAAAGAGCTAGACGGAGCCGCAAAAGACAGGAAATTGACAGACGCTGACGTGGCAAATTTACCATATTTGCAAGCTGTAGTGAAAGAAGCACTGAGAGTACACCCACCTGGCCCACTGCTGTCATGGGCCAGGTTGTCCACGTCAGACGTCAAACTCAGCAACGAAATGCTCATCCCATGCAACACAACTGCAATGGTCAACATGTGGGCCATCACACATGACCCTAAGGTGTGGGTGGACCCACTGGAGTTCAAGCCAGAGAGATTCTTGGGTGCAGACGTGGACATCCGAGGTGGCGATCTTAGGCTTGCACCGTTTGGGGCTGGGCGTAGGGTTTGCCCTGGAAAGAATCTAGGGCTAGTCACTGTAACTCTATGGGTGGCTAAGTTGGTGCACCAGTTCAAGTGGGTCGAAGATGTGGCTAACCCAGTTGACCTGAGTGAGATATTGAAGCTTTCTTGCGAAATGAAGTATCCTTTGTCAGCTATGGCTCTGCAAAGGAACAATTAGGGTTAAACTTTAAAGAAAGGTTGTGTAGGCTAATGCAGTATTCCTATTTAATATTATAATAATATTATATATGTGAGCTTAATTAGCTACTATACATACTGTTATATATGATAACAATATGAGATTAGTTTAGCTAATATATTTTATGTGTAGGCTAATGCAGTATTTTCCTTATTTAGATATTATATAATAATTATCATATGTGAGATTCATTTAATTAGATACTTACATACTGTTATATATGATAACAATATTGAGATTAGTTTAGTAATCATATATATATATACTATATATATATATATAAGATATATATATATATATATTACTATGGTATGCGTAGGGTTTCCTTTCTTGTTCATGTATATATATATATTATATGTATGCGTAGGGTTTTTCTTTCTTGTTCATGGTTGATGATGATGGAGAGCTCCAGTTTTGTTGTAGTGTTCTGCAAGGAGTCTTTGGTTTTATTTGGGTTTATCATTATTTAGATTTTATAATTAATTACTGCTAAATAATGTTTAATTATGTGGTGTAAAAATCTTAAAAGAGAGCTTAACTTGGTATTTCTAATGTTTCTTCAGTTTTAAGTTATTTTTGAATGCTCTTAGAGGCTCTTTGTCATGTTTGTATTGGTATGAAAAATATTTTTATAATCTTAATAATATTTATTTATTAATCATTGATCGGAATTTTTGATCGCCAATCACATCAATCATCATTACCATGATCATTATTATCAGTCATCGAATTACTATAATTAATTTTTTCACCAATATATTTTCTTTCACATTTGATAATAGATTTTTAAACATAAAATTATACAGAAGACTATAGAAAGAAGAGATAATCGTATTGTCATTAGTATGCCGTTTAAATATAAGAAGAGTCTTATACTAAATAGTATATGGTTACAAAATAAGTTACAACATAAATTATCTATCCATAACAATCTAAACAAACTTTATCAATATCTATTAACTCTTATCTCCAATACTCTCCTGCAAGATAGAGAATCCATTGTGGATTCCTATCTTGGCTCGATTTTGTTGAAACTTTACCTTAGACAGAGATTTAGTTAGCATATAAAGAAATGTGTGTGACCCTAATCTCACCTCAGCATATAAAGAAATGTGTGTGACCCTAATCTCACCTCTTTGGACCATTTCTCGGACAAAATGAATATCAATCTCCAAATGTTTCATTTTGGTATGAAACACTGGATTCTGACATGTATATATAGTAGAGATATTATCACAGCAAATAACAGGGGTGTCTACTTCTTTGTCCGAGTTCTCTTAGCAAGGATGTAACCCATTTTACCTCAGATGCTGTACTTGCAACAGCATGATATTCAGTTTCTGTGCTGGACCGAGCAACTGTCCTTTGCTTTTTAGAGCTCCAACTAATTGGAACCTTACCAAGATATAAGATAAATTCGGTTGTTGATGTTCGATCCGAAGGATCTCTTGCCCAATCAGCATCCGAGTATGCATGATCTCTTGCCCAATCAGCATCCGAGTATGCATGAAACCCAAAATCAGCTTGCTTCATGATTGAAATTCCATAATAAATTGTTGATTTCAGATACCGTAGGAGTCTCTTTAACTCCAGCCAATGGTCGGCATTCGGATGTTGCATATACTGTGATAATTTGTTCACAGTGAAAGCGATGTCCGGCAAAGTGAGATTTAAATATTGCAATCCTCCAATTAATTTTCGATAGGCAGTAGCATCAACAGGTAAGTCTCATTTTTTGATTTTTGGAGCTGTATATCCGAAGCCATTGGAGTAGAAATCTCCTTCGCACCATCCATCTTTGCTTACTCAAGCAATTTCCGAATATAGTGATGTTGAGTTAAGAAATCCCCTCCATTTATTGTCGCAAACATCCATACCAAGAAATAAATGACAGTGGTTTTGCCGGATCTTTCAGAGAAAAACGCTTCCCAAGTGCTTGCACAAAACTCTTGAACAAAAACCCATTGTTATGTTCTACAGTAATTACTATGTCATCTACATAGACAAGAAAATAACAATATACACCATCTTTAATATAATAAAAGAGGGAATGATCACATGCCGATAACCGAAAACCATAGGCAACATTAAAAGCTCTTAAATCTTGATACCAAGCACGTAGTGCTTGCTTTAACCCATAAAGTGCTTTAATCAACTTACAAACATGTGTGGGTTTTATTGGATCTTTAAAACCTGGTGGCTGCTGCATATAAACATCTTCCGTCAAAGGACCATGTAAAAATGCATTATTCACGTCCAGTTGAACAATTGGCCAAGCTTTAGTAATTGCTAGAGTAAGCACCAACCGAATTGTCACTGGTTTGACAACTGGACTAAGTTTTTTGACAACTGGACTAAATGTATTACTGTAAGTCAACACCAGGTCGCTTGACTATAACCCCTAGCAACTAGTTTTGCTTTGTAATCTCTGCAAAAGATTCCATCGACATTTTTTCTTCACCCTGAAAAATCCATTTACCAACCTGACCAGATTATAAGCAGAATCATATGGAACAACACCCAAGGTATTATTAGTCAAAGTAATGCATTAAACTCTGAATTGTCATTGGGCCTGTCGCCAATCAAGAATAGCTAAGGCTTGTTTACTGAACTAGGTTCTGGTAATGAAGGTAAAGGATGCTTGGTAACTTTAATTTTAAAACTTTCGGTTGAAAAATATTATTCTTGAAAATATTATTTTTGGAACGTGTGACCATACGATGAAGATTAACAGGTGTTGGAAATGACTGTATGTCGACACTAGGAGGCATAGACTCGATCGGTGTTGGACTTAAAGACACAGGAGCAGTAGAACTTGAAATAGACTCATCCATAGACATATTCGACGAAAGAAAAGGAATAATAGGAGTAACTGGTTCAGTAGCAAAATCATACCAACTAGTGTTAGACAAATCTGTAGCCTAATTTTTGTCAGAAAAGGGAAACTTATTTTCAACAAACTCAACATGGTGAGACTCAAAAATTTTCCCAGATTCAATATGATAACAAAGATAAGCACTTTTGTTTGGTGAATATCCTAAAAATACACAAGGAAGTGATTGATTATCAAACTTATTTTTATTTTTCATGTATGGTCTAAGACAATGGATAACAAAGACATCCAAATACTCGTAAAGAGGTATAATTAGGATTTTGACCAAACCAATTTTTTCATAGGGAAGGAGACTAGTTTAAGAAGATATGTAAGTAACCGATTTATTAAGTAAGCTGCCCAGTACGGAAAAGCCAAAACTCTAAAAACTCATGGGTAAAGAGGCTGTTTGTAACAAAGTAAGCCCTGTTTCAACTTAATGGCGATTGGACGCGTTCAGCCGCCACCATTATGTTTGAGGTGTGTGGAGGCAGGAGTTTTGCAATGTGATTGAATTCCCTGGTTGTTTGAAAATTTATTTTTAAGAGCAACATACTCTCCCCCCCCCCCATCAGGAATATATTTAGTTTGAATTTTGGAGTTAAAAGGTGTGTTCCCATCAGAATATATAGTTTGAATTTTGGAGTTAAAGGTGTTTTCTACAAGCTTTTGAAAGATTGGAAAAAATTCGAGAAAAATATTTTAGATCGACTTATGTTTGAAAATAAACATACCCTAAATTTCAACTATAAATGTATTGTCTCTTTATACTCCCTGTAAAGAAATCATCTTGCATCAAAAATATTTTCAAAATAAAATGAAATGAGTCAATATATTCTTCTCGGATTTTTAATAATTTGACATGGCATTGTAATAATATCCATGTATATTATCATTCAAAACAACCTTCCGTTCCACTTTAATAAAATAACAACATTTAATTCTTCCTTAGAGATTAAGAAAATAATTGGAATATATTAATTTTTTAAAAGTATATGATAGAATATTTAAATTATTTTTCTTCATATTAAAAGCTCCCCATTTAATTTGACTACAAAACACATAATAAATATGCATAAAATTGAAAAAAATAATTAATATGCTCTTAAAATTCTAAACTCATTAAAGTGGAACGGAGGAAAGTAATATGTTTTTCCAATCACATTAAATGATAGAATGTCTAAATAATAAAATGGTTTATTTAATAAAATTTCTAATTTCTCCATCTCATGTTGTTACGTAAAAATTAATAAATGTGGTCATAATTTTGTAAGTTAGCCTTATTCTGCAGTAGCAGCTGATATTTTTAGTAGATGTGTAAAGCTAGAGATAGAGACCAGGCATGAAAATGGACGTCGGAGTTTCATTAAATCATCGATAGCCGTTAATCTTTGTTAAATCATCTATAACGGTTAATATTGAACTTATAATGAGTTGGAGTTATTTTTAAAACAAAATGTCTTAAGCTATTTGAGTGGTTTACCATTCTCGTTATATGCCACTTAGTATTAGTGTATTTATCCAATGTGAATTACAACACACACTTCAACACTCCTCTCTCAAGTAGAATTATCTATTTGAGATGACCCAACATGTATCCATTAGGGTCCGACCTAATACGGGAACTTTCCTCATGTACGTTTAGATCCTAGACTCTGAAACCATATCAAAAATCGTAGGAGCAAATTAATCAAATTTAAATAGTATAAGTAATGTATTTAATTGTGACATCCTACCGAGTCGAGTCTTAGCACTGAGTCGAGTCTTTTCATAGAGTCGAGTTGAGTCGGGCCAGACCAAACCCGGTTGGGGAGTGAATGCAACCTTACTATCAAATTTACCAATAGTATTACATATGGTATTACATTGTGACATGGTGCATCCTGGCCTTTTTTCCTATACCCTTGTATGTCGTTCGATCTCTTAGCACTGAGTCGAGCTTTCTCATAGAATCGAGGTTGAGTTCGGCCAGACCAACCCCTGTTTGGGGTGCTAGAATGGATCATAATGACTTACCTGAACTTGACGATAAAAAGATCCAAAAGCCATTATGGGTCGAGGATTTTATTTTGCTATTAAAAGACTCATACTTGGTATTAAGATTTATACTTTGCCATTGGATGGTACCATTTAGCGAACTTCACCATAAAAATTTCATATGATAATTTTGATGGCGTCCCATACCCGTAATAACATCCATT